ATGTTTCGATGAACATTCGCTGCCTGTTTCAGTGGCTTGACGAACACACCACTCCATGGCTCTGGTTTTTGTGGAGGCTGAAATAATAAAAAAATATGAAGAGCAATCTTATTTAGATTTTTATTAATTTACTAGTTAATATACTCTTCACAAATATAAATTGACTTAAATATAATTTTTCTTCTTTATACAAGTCATATACAGTGGGTCTTTCGATATGTCAAGTGCTAGTCTTAATGCCTTGTTTTGTATTGTCTGTGAGTTCGTTTCTGTTGTCGCTCTCCACACCCAAATGCATTTAACCCTTACCACTCGGATGCCGCCGCTCCGGCGACATAATTCATATAATTCGGAATTCGCGAGTAGAAAGGGTTAATTTATTACTGTTTTATATTTTTTTCACTGATTTATTTACCCCATACGTTAAAGTATATAATGAGATAATAATTAATGTATAATATTGGATGAATTTTATGATTTTTATTACCTGAAACGTAATTGCCCAACTGGTGCAGCAGCATATGGAATTCCACAAAATCCATATACTCCTTTCCATTTTCATTAACCAAAACTTTTCCTGATAAAGTGCCCTGGGCAATGTTACTGTAGGAGCACTCATTCTGGAAAAATTAATTTAATTATATATCATATAAACCAGAAGATATAATAAACAAACGATAATAACACTAGATTAATTAGATTAAAAATTATTATTAACAAAATGAACAAATTTTACAAATTGCATCAATTTTTTTGTAACCTAACTATAATTATAATATTTTTGAAAAATAAGAATTTCCATCACATTGTGAATTTTTTTTTAGATATAATAATATATAAATTTAAGTAAGTATATATTAATTATTGACAATATTTATATAATAAAAGTAATTAATACAAATGAATGCATTTTTATTGCATTTATATGAAAAGATAATTATAAATAACATATTAGATAAGAATGAGTGGTTTGCCAAAAGCAGGCAGGATTTTAAAAGATAATAATAATATGATATTTTAATAAAATTCTGATTTAAATAAGATTTCTGTAGTATTGTTGTAACTTAAGGAATAATACGTAATTTATGATTTACTAATTTGAATTCATTATTAAATAAATTTCAGTACAAATAAAAAGTAATTACACTACATTACTTACAGTAATTTATGATTTACAAATTTATTAGTATAAATTAACTTTTCAGGGGTTAGAAAAATAAGAAATACATAATTTGTGGTAGACCTTGAAAACACCATATAAAAATATTTTGTGATCAATAAAACTACAAATTTAACTTTGACAAATTCCGCTTTGATATAAAAGGTGTTAAGTAAATTAAATAACATGTCTTACTAACATTTTGAATTACAGGTGCCTTTATTTAATTTTTTCTACTTTTTAAGTGTTTTTTTGAAGTATTTGCTATTTAAATGAGATTATATCGTAAGTCAACTTTTATGCTAAAAATATTTATTATTCGTAATTATTCATTTGTTTTAAAAAATTATATGATTATGAACTAATATCGGAAAAATGTGGGAAATAATATGAGCATTAATAATTTCTAAGAAACTTTGAAAATTCCGTTTTCTGAACGGAAACACAAAAATTTTAAAAACAAATTGAACCAAAAAAGTATATAAAAAATCAAAATCATAAAATTCCTGAAAGTGTTATTTTCAGATTGTATATTCAATATTTTTTAGATTATCCTGAATATGATTTTCTACAATATTTTTATTATGAAGTAGTACATACTTTATATATAAGTCATAATATCCAGATATGTTTTATCTATATTGAATTAGAATCCGATAATATACTACAATGTATTCTAAAAAAATATTTTATTAAAACAGAAATATGTATATATTTTAAAAAAATAATACAAAAATCAAGTTTTTATGTAACTAACCATCACTTAAACTCGACCAATTTTAATCTTTTTTATTATGTCTGCATTACATGACAATTTTGATATCACATAAATTTTGATTTAAAATACATTCTGCTTTTAAGATATCACCAAATGTCAATTAATTTTAAAAAATATAATTGTAATCATTATAATATATATATATATATATATATATATATATATATATATCATCCAATTAAGCATTTTTGTATAATCACAATTTAGTGACTTGCAAATTTTTCATTATTTTAGATAATGTCACTTAATCAAAAAAACAAATATTATTTCAAGTAGATATAATTATTGCATAGATAAATAGAGAATTATGTGTAATCATCATTTGTTTAAAAATATTTAAAAAATTGTCAACAGTACTAAAAATTAATAACTATTTTTTATATATTTAAGTCTATTTAATAAATTGGTGCCGGAAATAAAGTTGTATAAAAATTAATGATTTTTGTTATTCATATATAATTGAATATCATAGTAATAAATTTTTGGTAAATAGAATTTTGGTTGTTACTGTTAATTTATATCGATTTATTAATTTAGAAACGTTTGAAATCAAATAAATATAATTTTATAAACAATAAACTTGACTCCAAAGTAATTTATTTTAATGATTTTAATTATTTATACAAATTGTTAATTGATTTTTAATTTAACTAATAAATATATTATTAAATATATTTTAAACATTTATTATTTATATAACCCAATAATTGGTCAGATATTTTTTTTAAATTATTATTTTAGTTGCAACTAATAAATTACATCATTTAAAAAATTTTAAAATTGTTTGAAATCAAATAAGTATATGTATATAAAATACTATAAAATTGTGTCCAAAATAATTTATTCTAAATAAATGATTTTACAAATTTTAATTATTTATACAATTTGTTGTATTACTTAAATTCACATCTAGATAATAAATATTTTATTAAATATATTTTGAATATTTAACATTTAAATAAATCAATAATTGGCCCGATATTTTTTTTAAATTATACTTTTTCAACGTTATACGTTTCAACTATTAAATTATTTCATTTAAAAAAAATTAAAATTGTTTTAAATCAATTAAGTATGTTTATAATAAACTATAGGGTGTATCCAAAAATATTAATTCTAAATGAACCTAATTTCAAATTTTAATTGTTTATACCAAGCGTTAATGAATTTTGCCTATAACTAATAATTATTTTGTTAAAATTTTTTTAAAACATTTAATATTTAAACAGCCTGATAATTGGCGATAACAATTCTTAATATTGGTGACCTTGATACGTTTGATAAAAAATGTAAAATATTTTTTTAAAATAATTTGATAAGTTTTTTGGTTAATAAATACTGAATTAATAATAAATATGAAAATATTAAATTAAACTTACTTTTAAAGTTTCTTAGAAAAACACTTGTGCACAACAACCGGTACCTGCACAAAGACTACAAATACAAAAGCCGACTGCTTTATCAAAACATAATTTCTAATTCCTCTAATGCAGGGGTGGTCAACCTAAAATTAAAATTTTAAAAGCAATATTAAAGAAAATTATTAATGCATACATTTGATAAGTTTTTAGAAATTTAATATTAATTTATGAAAGTAAAATAAAAGAGTTATAAAACAACACAAATGTACATGAAACAAATAATCAGAAATTGCGATAAAAAAAACCATGAGAAAAATTCCTTTGATAATTTTAATTCTTTTGAGAAAATTAAGTATAAAATTTTTATACTATTTATATTATTTTTAGTGTTAGTTTTAAATTATAATACAAGAAGAATTCATTTGTTATATGTATAATAAAAATTTGGATTGTTCAATGACATTATTCAACTATACGAGTTATGTAGAATAAACAATTATCAGTGATGTATTATTGTCAGTATTGATTTTAATTTAAGAAATAAAATGATTATGGTTTGTAGTTAAAACAAATGTTAGTCATCCCCGACAACTAATACCTTTAAAACTGTTTACCATAATAATAATAATACGAGAGACGTTTTATATGTGTTGGCAAGAACATAATTGACTTTATCTAATGATATGGTGGTAGACAAAACCTTGAACTAATTAAAATTAAATATATTTTCAGCTTGCTGATAGATAGAGCTACTATATAGAATATTCTATGTTATAGTGGTTAAGTATACAATATTTTTAAATGTAGTAATGCATAAAAAATTAAATAAATATAATAAAGTGCATAAAGCAATTAAAAATTATAATGAAAATTTAGTTCTTTCTGTGATATTTTAAAAGTATTGGTTTTGTTACCTTTTTCACCTTTTAAAGTATAACATATATAAAAACAAAAACATTTATTTGTTAAGTTAATTATCTCCTTTGAAGTGAAATATATTACTTTGTTTTTAAATATAATTTATTTTATTAATTTTTTTAAGCCTAACTATAGTTTTTTGTTATTAAAAATCATATTAGTGTAATTTTTAGCAAATTTTTATATTATATTTGTATATAACAAAAATAAATATAAATATAACATAACAGTCCAATGAAAGTCAATAAAATTAAATCAAACGTAATAAATATTAAAGTATTCTTCAAAATTATCTCACTATAAAACATTAATTTTCACAGATAATTTGTTCAAATTCTTACGTCGAAAAGAAATTATTGCATAATAGAAAACAGAAAAAGCACGCGTGTTTGTGGCTAAATATTTGGTAAACAGAATTAGTTTTTGCATTCAGCCATTATTTTATCCCAAGTGCTCATTCGAGATTGTTCATCCATATTTTTCATTTTTAAAGTTTGACCAATATCTAAATAGGAAATGACACCTTTATCAAGTGGCTTCCATTCCGCCGGCAATTTATTTGGAGTGGGATTTCTATGAATATTTAAAAAATAAATAATAATAAATAAATAAATTATTGTAGTAATCTGAAACAAAATATTATGGTTTTGAGTCTACAGATATCATACCCATTATCTGCAAAAGACTTCCACATATTTAGAATATTTTCTTGAACATTCCTATCATTTTGATTTGAAAGATGATTTGCCCCACCACTGCCGAAAAAATCATCTTTTGGTCTAAATAAATATTTATATTCTGCTCCGTGCGGAACTCCACGAAGATTTTTATATGATGATGTGGTATAGTCATTATCCTCATATGAAAATCTATAAAAGTATGTAGTGATTCCTGCATTTGCAAACTCCTTAGCAGTTTGGTAAATTCCGTAGATATAATGAGCATCACCTATCATATTGACAAATTGACCTTTTTTTTCATTTTCTGACAAGGATTTATCAAAATATGCTTTATTTAAAAGCTGTACGCATTGTTCTTTACTAGTTGTATCTTTACTATCGTTAGGTAAAAAAAGTGCCAACACTTCGTCAGAATAATTTATTACCCCAATATTTTCGTTTGCAAAATTTATTCCTTCATCCTTATTAAAGCCAATAATTACTTGCAAGCCCTTAGATTTTTTTAATTCTTCAGATGATTCTTTTACAGGTTTTTCTATTATTGCATCAGAACCTTTGTCGTTTTCAATAACTGGTAGGAAAGGTGATAAATTCATAGTTTTACCTTTTTGAGTAGTAATATCGATACTGGATTTAAGAAGATTTCCGCTAGAATATTGATTAGCAGTACTTCCTTGTAGCAAAGAAAGGTATACTTTTGCATTTGCATCGTCATACGTATTTATGTTCACTTTTTTGAGTAATTTTTTTGCTTCCTAAAAGAGAAAAAAACTCATACAGTAATTTAAAAATTCAAAAGTGATTGATTGTGTAATGTATAATACTTCCAATGGCTGGCGCTGCAAAGCCCAAGGGTTATGAGCAGATCCACTCTGTAAAATTGCTCGTTGGAATAAACTCCGACATGATTCACAAAGAATTAAATAATGTATACTTGCTGCTCCCGAACCACTTCCAAATACCGTTATTTTAGTTTTGTCTCCGCCAAAATTTTCAATTTCTTCATTAACCCATTTAAGCGCTTTAACCTGCAGGTTAATTCCAAATTATGTACTTCAATATCTAGGTACTAAAGTAAGCTTGGAAAATGACAGTAGTATTTTAAAATCGTAGAGCACTTCGATTCTAAAAACCTCCTTTTGCAATACTAATATCCGAAGTATGAATTCAATTATTAAAAAATATAACACAATAAGCGTGTGTCTAGTCATATAATATATGGATAATGTGATTGAACATAATACTTCACAATCCATTCCTAATAAAAATATATTGAACTAAACTCTACAAAATAATTTAGATATAATTATTTTATTATATTAATAATATTGTCATTATATTAATAATAATATATGGAAAATAATAATTTGTGGAAATTTAAAAAAATGTGTTATAGATTACTCTACCATAAAAAATTACAAAATTTTTTGTCAAACAAATTTTGTATTGTATAATATAAGTAATGAGTTTTTCGAGCGAGACGATATTTTAGATTTATAATTACTACTTCGATAGAAATAGGAAACTAGCTGTAAGTGGAATTCTGTCTTGAGGCAATTGTGGCATCGTGCCTTAAGGCAAATTGCTGGAACTTCCCGCACCGTAACGAAATGTTCGAGGAATACTGAATGTTTTCAAATAGATTATTATAAATATTGTAACATAATTGTCTAATATTTATAAGAATTATATAAACTGAATTGCAGAGTTGAAATTATTTGTTTAAAGTATATTAGAACTATAGTCAGAATAAAAATAAAATCTGAAATATTTCTGAAAGTTCTTTGAATCATTTAAATCGGACGCTTAGTTCTCTCAAAAACTGCCATTTTTTACATATTTAGCTCCGTATCTTCGAAATGGCTGGGCCTACCTTTGCCAAAAACTAATAAACACTTCTCCCAATCATTACTAATTGAATGTTTTTTAGATCATTCAAATCGGATACTCCGTTCGCTCAAAAATTCGATTTCTATTTTCTGCACTCTTTGCTCCGTATCTCCGAAACGGCTGGACCTGCCTTTCCCAAAAACTAATCAGCTCTTTTCCCTATCAATAGGAATCGAATGTTTTTTGAACCATTCAAATCGGTTGATCCGTGCGCCCTAAAACGTGACTGGAAATTTGTATCCACACGTACATACACACACACATACACACATCCATTTTTTCTGAGGTATGCCAAAACGTTCAGAAACCTTCAAAACGTCGAGAAATGTAAAAATTTTCAATTCCGATTTTCGGCCCATTACAATAACTTACCCTACGGGAAGTTAATTATCATAGATGAATCTAATGTTAGTTACTAATATTGAAGCATGCAGTAAATAGTATATCTAATGATATCATTCATTTTAATTTTATTTTAAATAATAAGCTAAACATAATGCTTGTCGAACCCACCTGGTCTTTTAAACCCATATTGCCAGGTAATTGCTTGTTTCCAAAACTTAGAAATCCAAATACACCTAAACGATAATTCACAGTAACCACAACAACTCCTTTATGAACAAGATAATCTGGTCTCACATTTCCGTAATTCCCTGAACCTTTATCAAATTTACCATCATGAAACCATACCATCACGGGATATTTTGGATTCTTAAGATTTGTATGCTTTTCTGATGTAGGGACGCTGGGTGAGTAAATGCTTAGATACAAGCAATCTTCATTTCCTAAAAATATTAAGAAACTTGTGTAATTTAGTGTTTCAGATATTTTCAGTGCACATCGATAAATTACAAGTAAATATTGGTAATGAAATGAAATTACCTACTGGAGAAGATGTAGATGTTGGTGCTTGCACACACATGTTTGGATCTTTCCTTCCATCATGATAGGTAAAGTATTTGGGGCTCTCGGGACTCTAATTTTTAGCATTTATTAGGAAGTGGTATGATATATATTCGAAACTTGGTGTTTAAATATTACCATAAAACGATTCTTTCCGGTTGGAGCTTGAGCATACGGGATTCCCAGAAAATAGTCGTAGGATTTACCATCTTTATTTCGATAAAAATCTCCTTGAACAGTCCCTTGTGATGTGGTAACTTTATATATGTAAATAGCATAAACTTCAAAAATTGAACACATCAAAAATGTGCAAATCAACTTCATGTTAGAGCTTAAGCATTTAATTTTTCTGCATATTAAAATGTTCGGGTAATAATTAGGTGTATTTAATAAATAGTTAAAATTACGTAATAAAAAATAATATAATTGTTTATTTTGCTAATACTTTGTATAGCCATTTTTTCCATTTGTATTACGAAATTTTTTTATAATTTTGCAATAAAAATGTTAAACATATTAACAAATAAATTAAGTAATGATAAGAAAAATAACTAATGAAGCATTCAGTAAATAATATTTTTCTCTCCAAGCTCGAATCATTTTAATTAAATAGTTTTTGAAGAATTTTTATTTTTTTAACTAAATAGCATTATTAAAAAGCTATACTTTTACTTGATAAAAAGATTTAGTATAGCCTATTTTCATAAATAGATCAATAATTTTGCAAATTAGCAAAAAATTGTAAGATAATGTGTTCATTGTCATAAAATTAATTAAGTACACCCAGGCCTCGCTATACGGCCGCTCTTTATACGGCCTTTCGCTATAACGGCCCTCTTTAATTAAGGAACGTTTTCGATATACGGCCTAAAATGTTTTGCTATAACGTCTTTTTTAACTTTGCGTAGGCCAAGTTACAGTAATCGCAAAAAAATCGAAAATGAAAATTTTTATATATCTTTACGTTTCAAAGTTTCAAACGTTTTGGAAAAACTATAATATCAACGATGCTGTTGAGAACATTAGTGAATCCTGGAAGAAATTGAAATCAACAACAATGAACCATGTTTGGAAAAAAAATATGGCCTGAATGTATAAAAACTACCGATGCAGAAGTTAATTTCCTTCCTGAAGTTAGACAAAACATTTTGGATTTAGCACATTATCTTGGTTTTGAAGATTTAAACGAATCTGATGTGCTGGATCTACATGCAGCTGATAGGGAACCCCTTTCATTTGAGGAACTCATTCAGTTGCAAGCAGAAGTTTTTTAAATGTTTTTGAAGTTTATTATTTTATGTAAAATTTATGTTCTTGTTAAATATGTTTATAATTTAAACAAAATAAAAAAATAAAATGCATTTTTGATGATAAACCATATTATATATTTATTAAATTTGGAACCGATCCCATTGAATTTGTATGAATACGTATTAGAATAATTGATTCGATATACGGCTTTTCGCTTTACGGCCAAGTTTTGCGGAACGTATCTAGGCCGTAAAGCGAGGCCCCAGTGTAATTAAATAATTTAAATAAATAACCGTACATTGAAAGCTTGCGATTAGTTATAAAGTAATCATTCATCCGATATTTATTTTTCTTTCAATACCAAGTTTACTAATTATAAGACATATAAAAACATGTGCTGATAAATTATGAAATTATAGAAAAAATCGAATGACATAGGTTCTAACAATTTTGGGAAAAAGATACAAATGTAAATATTATGTAGATAGTACAAACACAAATTTTATAAAATATTGTGCAAAATTATAATTATACAAAACTTATGTAACAATTCATAAATAAGTATACTCGATAAATATTTGCACTATAAAATTGTATTTATAATTGTCAAAAAATACAATTAAAAAAATATTCATTAACATAATTGAAGACTTATCGCAAATTTTTATTTTACGCAAATTTCAATATAGATAAATTTTTGTTAATTTTAGGTTTTGGATTTTGAATTAAAAAACACAAATGATCGATAGGTAAAATAATGCATAAATATTTAGTTAAATTATTAGTAATTAGAAATATAAAAATGAAATTAACAGTGCTGAGATGAAAATGATACAAGGTTATGAAGAAATAAGAATTTTATACTACTACTTTATATTTTTTATTTTGCTGTAACACATTACATTTTATTAACATTACATTACTGTTTTACTAGAAAAACTAGTTGTTTTGGTATTTAGCCTTGAGGCAAATTACATGAACTTCCCGATATGTGTAAATAATCGACTTGATCAAAAAAATGTGTAAACTAGCTGTAAGTGGAATTCTGTCTTAAGGCAATTAGGGCATCGTGCCTTAAGGCAAATTGCTGGAACTTCCCGTACCAAAAATTATTATTTTTTTAAAAACGATTAACATTTTTGAAAAAAAAAATTACTTCGAAAAAATAAGATTTTTGACAAACAATTAGACAAAAAATTACTTTTTTTTGAAAAAATTTTTTTTTTTAATTTTTTTTTTTTGAAAAAAAAAATTTTCTTTATTTTGACATATTTTGAAAAATCTAAACTTTTTTTCAAAGCGATCGTACTGCTTTAACTGCATAAAGACGAAATATCAAACCGCGTAAGCGCCGCGTCGACGTCTAACGCGTAAACATTGGTACGGAACCCATAGGAATGTAAACCAAAATTATACTTATTGTTAAAATCTCTATAAAATATCTGGTAATTTGATGTGCATATGTCTAATGATCATTTTTGACCGCCAAATGGCATTTTTTTTACTTTTTTCATTAGATCTCCGAAACCGCTAGACCTGCCTTTATGAAACTTTGATCGGTTCTTTGCCTTGTCAATACAAGTAAAATGTTTTTTGAATTATTAAAATCGGACGCTCCGTTCTTTTAAAAACTGAGTTACCGTTTTCGGCACTTTTTGCCCCGTATCTTCGGAACGGCTAGACCTGACTTCGCCAAAAACTAATCAGCACGTCTCCTTATCAATACGAATCGAATGTTTTTTGAATTATTCAAATCGGTTGATCGGTGTTCCCGAAATCGTCGACGAAAATTTGTATCCGCACATACATACACACACGCACACACACACACACCACACCACACACACATACATCCATTTTTTCTAAGGTATGCCAAAATATTCAGAAACCTTTGAAACGTCGAGAAATGCAAAAATTTTCATTTCGATTTTTTGCGATTACTATAACTTGCCCTACGGGAAGTTAATAATATACTTCATCAATCCTACTTTAAAAAAAACGATAATAATTTTAGCAAAGTTTGACGAATTTTTAACATTAAACTACTTGTTGTAAGGCTGTAATATTACAGTAAGTTCTATAAGACCATGATCTATATCGCCAAAAAAAGTTCCATGAAAAACGGCTTAAATTTTTTTTAACAGTTAATTACAAGAAAACGGCTCGGTAGATTTTCACCTAAAATTAATCAGCATCATTCCCAACTAATATCTTTCGAACAGTTTTTGATTTTTTAAAATCGGTTCGGTAGGATGAGCTTAAATGTGGACGAAAAGTTCAACACTTTTTTTCAAATTACAAAGAAACGGCTTGGCAGATCGTTGCACAAAACTGACAAACGATAGTCCTCACCGAAATACATCAAATGGCTTTTGAATTTCTAAAATCGGTTCAGGCGTTTTCGAGAAAACGTCGATCAAAAGTCTAATTTTGACAAATGCCAAAAAGACCATACTGATTTTTGCAAACTTTGACGAATTTTTAAAGCTGAACCAGTTGTCGTAGGGCCGTAATATTTTAGTATGACCTAGAAAACTATGGTATCTACCGTCAAAAAAATAATCATAAAAATCGTCGAAATTTTTTTTTAAAACTTTATTACAAGAAAACGGCCCGGCCGATCTCTACCAAAAACTAATCAGCACGATTCCCAACCAATATCTTTCGAACGATTTTTGAATTTTCAAAATCGATTCATAACTGCGGGCTAAAACGTGGACGAAAGAGTTTTCACTTCTCTGCTATTTACGAAGAAACTGTTTGGCCGATTGTCGCACAAAACTGACAAACAATAGTCCTCATCGAGATACATCGAATGGCTTTTAAATTTTTGAAATCGGTCCAGCCGTTTTTTGAGGAAAACGGCGATTTACGGCAAAAAATCTGTTGGGCACACGCACACACACACACACACACACACACACATACTTTTTCCAAATTTGGTCTCATTCGATTCAGAATGGCTTGAAACGTCGAGAAAACATAAAATTAGCGAATCGGATTTTTGATGAAAACATAAACTTCTCCTTCGGGAAGTTAATAAATTATATATATATCGTGGGCCAATAATAATTTCAGCAGTACCACAAGAAGTTATTGATACGATTTCTTTGATTTTTTATTTTCGAGTCGTATATTGACAGCCTGATAAACTTGTTTCCACTTTTTCATTCTTCCAAACTCAGACGCACTAAAATCACGCATTTTAAAATCATTGAGATCAAAATATTCTTTCTTCTCGTTGAAAGTTTTCCACAACCCATCCAAGTTTCCTATTTGATACCAATGGCTTGATGTAGTGGGATTTCTGTAATTAAAAAAGCAAATAAATAATAGTATTCTGTATAAATGTCTGAAAAAAATCTCAGAATAAGATTGATATCGTAAACAGCAAGTTTGCATTTTAGTATACTAAAAATATTTCTCAATATAATACAACTAATAATATGCCAATAATAACCACTCACTTATACTTTGCAAAATTAGTCCAAAGTTCAACAATTTTTTTATGTTTCTCTTTATTCGAGCCTGTAATTTCATTACTATTAAATATATATTTCACCTCGTCCCCATGATTAGCTCCAGTAATTTTTTTACTTTCCTCGCACAATTTATTTTTCAATTTGCTATCGCTTATAGAAAATCTATATACATAAGTATTAAAACTGTCTCTTAAGTTAATCATTTTTTCTGCTGTTTTGTAAATTCCAAAAGTATACCAAGCATCACCCATCATTTTAACAAAATGTTCTTGATAGGTATCATTCTGATCTAATTTATATTCTTCAGCCAATGCTGCATTGATTGTTTTACCATCTACGGTATGGTTTTTAGTATAAACAACTTGTCTTGGTAAATATTGATCTAGATTATGGTTTTCCATCCAATTAGAATCAATATTTTGTACATAATTTAGTATTTTAATTCCTTCAGCATCGTTAAATCCCAATATAATGGGACGCCACTTTATCATATTAATTTGTAAATAATCCATTGCTTCGTCAGTTGTTTTGTTAATTATAGCATCTTTGGAAGTATTTAGTTCTATAACTGGAGCAAAAATAGGATCAATTTGCTGCAGTTTATTATCAGAGGAGAGTACTTTCTCGGCAGCATCAAATATTTTTCTTGTGTCGAAACTTTTGAAATCGTAATTTTTTGATCGCACTTCTTCTTTTGGTTTACTTGGTTCATTTTGGTTTTTGGGATAAAGACCCAAATTAGTTAAGAATAATTTAGCATGCTGTGTAAAGTAAAATTTATTATTTACTCATTATATATAAACCTCATACTTATTTATATTTACCTCAAAAACCTTGTTCTGCAGACCCCATGGATTAAATGCAGATCCGCTCTGCATTATTGCTTTATCAAAATTATACCTAGCTCCTCTATGCAATAATAAATAATGTATACTAGCAGCACCAGCATCAGTACCAAATAATGTTATTGAATATTTGTTTCCTCCAAACTTTTCTATGTTTTCCAGAATCCAATTTAAAGCCATCATCTAAAAAATAAAAGTAAATGATGAAAGAAAGATCCTCATATTTCAACACATTTTATAAACAAGAAATTAACAGTTTTATTGGCTTTTGTATCCTAATAAAGCTCTATGACCAATTTCTGAATTTATTACTACCTGATCTTTAAGGCCCGCATTTCCTGGAATTTCTTCACTTTGCAAGCTCAGGAATCCAAAAACACCCAATCGATAGTTAATTGATACCACAATGACTTGTTCATGGACCAAGTCACTTGGATCTATGTTTCCGGAACCAGAATTGAATTTTCCACCATGTATCCATACCATAACTGGATATCCAAGATTTTCACGTTTCAAACTTGGTGTGTAAATATTCAAATACAAACAGTCTTCGGCACCTTGAAAAGCAACTTACGATAAATTTTTACTCCTTTATTTAATAGTCAAATTTAATAAAGAAAAGCATTTTTTAAAAGTTTATTTTTGTGTATAATTACAAATAAAATATATAAATTACCTGTATAAGCACCACCAGAAGAAGCTTTCTGAACGCAAACAGATTTTCCATCTTTCTTTTGGTCATAATTTTTTCCATCTAACTTTTGAGGTGACTGCAAAACATAGATAAAAATGCAATAACATTTTATAAATAGTTAGAATAAATTAGTATTTTTAACTTTAAATTTCTAAAACTACTTACCTTAAAACGTAAATCGTCGATCGGAGGTTTAGCATAAGGAATTCCAAGGAATTGACATATAATTTATGCCATTTTGTTTTATATTCATATCCTTCGAGTTTACCATTTGTGTAGTGACTTCACAATTAGGACATTTTGCAAGTACATAATGTAATATAATGACAAAAAACAAAACTTCATAAATTTTGATCATAATCTTTGATACAAATTTGTAGTAGATACATGAACACTAACTTAATTGCATATTTTTAATAATATGTACGCACGTTTGAATTTGCATAAAATAAAGATGTCGCAATTATTAGAAAATTTATATTCGAAAACAAAGTAAATAACAGTTTCAATAAAGAAAGCGAAAAAAATCATTCTTTTCCAGAAGCTTGTCATACACGTAATATTACTATTAAATATTGCAAAAAAAAATATCATATCAACAATATTTTAAATAATAAATAGAAAACTGTAAAATACTTTAAAAATTATATATGAGCATTGTAATGATAATCATATAAAGTGTTTAAAAATATAATTTTGATATTTTATGTTAATTTGTTTTTTTATTTATTTTGTTTATTAACCAATTTTAAGTATTTATGTAATAATAATGATTCTAAAATGATATCATTAATCCCGATCGTTCCATCGATTTCCTTTAAATTTTTTAATTTTTAAATTTATCCAAAATATTTGGAGTAAGTTCTAAAGAAAAAGAAAATTATCTATTAAACTTAAATTAGTTAATTATAGAAAGTTGATTTGATTATCATACAAAAATAAACTAAATAAATTGCCCAGAACAAATATGGTTCAACAAAAAAAACTCTTCGGATGATTTTTCAATCAACAAAAAAAAGTTCTACATACATTTAATAACATATACGTCGGATGTTACTTCTCACTTTAATTTTTTTTTAATTTCTGATTAACGTTCTCTATTTTTCTTGCAATTTTTAATATAACTGATCTGAAAAACTTTCGATTTTGCATACTGTGTTTATTAATTTGTGTTTTATTTTATGAATATTGTTATAGTCTACTAAATATGAATCATGCCATGACGCTAAAATCATCAGCTTCCGTTTTGGAGATGATAAATATATACTACATTGATATTCATTTTTCGGTCTGCAGAATTAATTTTGATTGAAATTTAGTGAATATATTTGTTAGAAATATCACCTGTTAATTTTTTTTTGTTACACTTTATAAGCCGGCTAGAATACGCGAATTTATTTATTCATCAAATTTTTAAGTTTGCATAATCATGATTTTTTTTTAATCTCATTACATATTTTGTAATATGTGAACATCACGTATTAAATACACTAAAAATATAATGATGTTTTTACAATTCTAATTAAAACAAGAAAATATATTTTTTTCGATATATCCCAGTCGAAAGACTAGTTTTGAACCTTATTACAATTTTCAAGATCAATTATAAATTTATAAATTTTTTGTAAAAATTTAAAATGAATTGCAATCAAAGTTAATTAGGTGTTCAATAAGCTGCTGTGAGTGAGTGATAGTAAATCCTATTTATTTATTAATTTAATTAACTATGAATCAATTTCCAATATATAGGTAAAAATTCGGTAAAAAGATTCAAATCGAAATCGAATAACAATTAGGAAGCTACCAGAACAATGGTGGACCTTTCTAATTATTTTATATTATTTTTAATATTTATAATTCGTTGATGCATGGTCTCAAATAACTGTTTTTTGGAATCATATGTACAACATTTTTCAAAACAAATTTTAAACCCAAAATCCTATCATTCATGACTAACTGAACAAATAATCAGTAAACTATGACAGAGAGTTCACCATCATTGGTGCAAATGATAACCGCATTGTAAAATTTATCGCAAAACATGGAATTATAGTTTGAAAGTTTCAATAGATAGCAAACAAATTAAATCAAAGTAACATAATATGTAAAGTGGAACATTGCAGTGCTAAAATGAGTGTTTTAAAAATGAACAAATTAATATTATTAATTTGTGTATATTTAATTGTCAGTTGTGAGTGCTACAAAACTGTAACGGATGAGAGTCAGTGCCCGAAAGTCAGTAAAAAATAATAAAATTTTGAAATAAATTAAATAATATATATATATTATATATATATATATAATTGTTGAAGAATTATGATACAATTGCAGTCAAAGTAATTGATTGATTTTGTGAAGTATTAGTTTGTCATATAGTTTCTGTTCCAAAAGTTATACTAAATGACATACTCTATGCTTTTATTTTAAAATTATAGAATTAATGTATTATTTAGCACACGAGTTTGACCAGAATTATTCCAGTTCTAATTGCGAGTTCAACCTTAAAATTAGAATAATCTAACGTCAAACACAGTGATATCCATTTACCCATTAAACAGAAGATCTAATATATGTTTCGAAGCAAAAAATAGTAGAATTTCAAAATTGCCTGAAAAACATATAATGCAACTAATGTCAGAAAATAGTGATACATTGTAAATCATAAGTACATATAGCATCTTCTATGTATATCGCCTTTATATAAATATTTACTCAACTTTGAATTACAATAAAAAATGTTGCAAATGAATATATAATAATAGATAAATATTTACTATTTTTTGCATTATACATTATTTTTTATAATGTAAATATTAGTACTTAGAACAGATTTCTTATGAATAATTAATTTATAGGTTCGAGCTGCCAGAAATTTTGATATTACCGGAATTGTTGGACAATGGTACGTTGTCCAATATTATGCATCTTCTGAGGAATTACCATTGTACAGTTGTATGAGGGCTGTTTTTATGCAAAATGCATTAGAAGTAAGTTACAGACATAAGTGTAAAATTAAGATTAACAAATTAAATAAAACTAGACTTTCATCAATCCTACTGGTTTGTGGAAGTCTTAAAGTAAAGTGAAATCTTATAGTAAAGTCAAGTATTAAGTTAAAATCCAGTTTTGAAGTAATGTCAAGTATTTAGGTAGAGTCTAGTATAAAATTTTGATATATTTAAATTTTTAAGATCATCTCTTTGATTTTGTTCTAAAGAACATGAAAAAATTCGTACAATGTACTAAGAAATAATTTTCAAAATTCCATATAAGTTAATTGCGCACCTTTTCTTTGCCGAATAGTACTTAAAACTTGAAACCCACAAACTGCCGTTTAAAATTTGAGTTTATAATAGTTCTAAAATAAAATAATGCAGAAGTTATCTATCTATAAAAATGAATGAAAAAGTAACAAAATATATTGATGAAATCACAAGTTTACAGTACTACTGCAACTCATATTTAAACCAATTACAATGATAGTCTTTGCATCCAAAAATAAAGTTTCAATTTTGAAGAACTCGAAGTAACATTAAATGCTCATAGAAGACAATTTTGGTTTCAAGATTAAACAAATATTAGCGACTCCAAACACCAGCATTGCAGTTTTTATTGAAACATAAAATTATTTACAGGTTGATATGAACTTCACATATATGTTTGCTGATGATCCTTTATTTGAACAATTAGAAGGAAATATAACATGGACCATTCCAAATCCAGACACCATGGCACATTGGGTACACAAAGAAGACACTTGTAAGATAAATGTTTAAATCAAATTTTAAAAATGCAAATTTGACTATTCCTGATGTCTGAATAAAATATGGAAGAATTTTGGCAAAACATTGATGAATAAAATACAATGAAATTCGCCTCTTGTGTGAGGCGTTTATATGGAGAATTGAGTGAACATAGTTTTGGATGAATTTTTCGTGTCAACACTTTTTTCCAAATTAGACAATTTATTCTATTAACTTCCTCAAGAAGGAGTTATGTTGTTGCCAGAATAACCAATTTGCTTATTTTAGTTTTTCTTGACATTTTAACTCATTCTGAATCTTCTTACAATAACACTTGAAAAATATTAAAAATAATATTCTTGTACATTTGCGTTGCATCTAAAACAAAAAAATTACCCATAAAGTACCCTCCACAGATTTTTTTTAAATGAACTCGATATTAGATTTATATGCCAACTAATTTTTGTAGAGTTTTATATAAATCTAATTGTGTTATTTATTAAAAAATATTTAATAATTATAAATTATTATTTTAGATGAAGGAGTATACAACACATATGTGCTGGACTCTGATTACAAGGATTGGACTTTGCTGATGCATTGTGCAGAAAAAGAAGAAAGTACCAGATATTTATCAGCACTTTTGCTATCCCGAAAACCAGATTTAACAATTAATGTCATTTCATACCTCAGGTAGAATAATCTTACATTTTTACAATTATTAAAAACATACATATATACCTACTAATATAGAATCATTAGTCAAGAATTTTTTTTAAGAGTACCTTATATGGCAAAATACACGTAGAGTATCAATACGAACGTATGTGATGTTTTTAGCAAATCAAAAAATTATAATATAAATGCATCCCAAATTTGATTGAATAATATTGCATGAACATTCCCAAATTTGTCGACTAACTACAAAAAATAATTGAAATTAATGTCAACATAGAGTACAAACAAATTAATGTCAACATATAGTACAAAAATAAAATGCTCTGGCTAGTCTATTTCCGAAAAATACTCCTAGCACGCCGATAACAACTGATATTTACCGGGAATAAATTTATAGTTAGTATAATATATATTTGAATTTTTATATTTTTATACACTGGGATTCATTAACTTAATGTTTTTTTTTTAAACTTAGATTTACTATCGAAAATTCAATAACTTAATGATTTTTTTAATAAACTTAGATTTACGATCAAAAATATCTGTACGAAGTGAAATGTATTTTTATACAATTTTTTATTTCCAGAGACAAATTACCAAAATACGGCATCGACACAGAATATCTGTTCCCAATGGACCAGAAAAATTGTAAACCAGGAATACCAAGAACTTTGGATCCATTTGCCAGAAAATTAGTTATTCCAGGAAACGATAATGTTTCCTCCAATGGTGGAGGCAAAAAGAAACATCCATTACAAAGGCATCATAAAAAACGAAGGCAGGAAAGATCTGAATATTATTGAAAAATATTAAAGAAAATACTTAATATCGAACTATTACATACTAATCGAGTTAATAATTTATCATTACTACTTGTCACTAGAAGATGTTAAGATAATACTCAAAGAACTTTTATACTAATGAAACAAAATATATTTTTGTTACTCAATACTCAAAATATTACGCACTGCCAGAAATATTGAAGATATAAACAAATATTTTACAAAATTATTTTTTTACTTAAAATTTTTCATACATATGTCGTATTCTGATTTAACACATTAATCAAATAATTCAAATGTTCAATGATAATATTAAGATTTTTTAACTAAATGCATATGCGCAACACAAAGGTTAGATTTTTCTTAGTTATTTATTACAATCATCATATCTTTAATTATTAATTACCTATTAATTATTATAACCCAATAATTAATTTTTAATGATTATACTATACGATAATGGTCGATATGAATTGTATAATGGGAAATTCGAGCCGAGTTCCTCAAGATCCAAACGCATTTAGTAATCAACAAACACGAATTTTGATAACAAATATTATGTGAATGACTACAACAATGCACTGTTGACATTCGATCGTTTTTATTCAAGCCGATACTAAACATGTGACTCTAAAACTTTATGGAAAATTTTTAATTTAAATTGATCTTCTTCAGATCGCATTCCAATTTTTTTATATTTTCCCAAACATTTGTGGCTTTTTTATAAATGATGAAAAATCATTATACTATAATGTTATCAAGACAGCCAATTTCAATATTTATGACTTTTGCTAGACTTTTGGACCACAAATAGCATTTTCATACACAGAAGTGGGATCATTATAGGTTGCTCCTACTTGAAAGTCACATTGATCACTAAAACCAAAATAGTTGTTTAAAAACATTTAATTTTTTTTTTATTTGCATGCATAGTATTATAATTTTGTTGAACAAAAATTTGGCCTATAGATGTATTTCACATAAAATTAGCTTTTCCAGGCAATATTGCAAAAAGTCAAAATATCATCAAATTTAGAACAAGGCATTCATAGAATTATCTTCTAATAACAATATTATATATCAAAAATATTATAAATAGTTAAAAAATTGTCAATAATAAACGATCATCACAACAACTTATAAAATGCCTAAGTTCTGTTTGCTCCTCAAAAACAAACTAATACATAATAAATTAAATATGAAAATAAACATTGAATTTTGATTCAATAGAGTAAGTCATAGCAATCGCACAAAAATCGAAAATGAAAATTGTTATCTTATAGTTTACGTTTCAGAGGTTTCTGAACATTTTGGCATACCATAAAAAAATGGATGTGTGATTATTCAACTGATTTGAATAATTCAAAAATCATGCTTTCCTATTGATAAAGTGTGCTGATTAATTTTTAGCAAAGGCAGGTTTGGCCGTTTCGAAGATACGGGGCAAAAAGTGTCAAGAATGGTATCAAAGTTTTTGAGATAAAGGAGCGTCCGATTTAAATAATTCAAAAAACATGCTAAATATTGTTTAAAAAAATGTTTAAAATTTTCATAATAAATCAAAATAAAGAAAAAAATTCCAAATATAAAAAAATCAAATCTATTTAAAAATTTCAAAATTTTTCAAAAATCTAATTGTTCCAAAGTTTTGCAAAGTTTATTGTCTAATAATTTAGTTTTTGGAACAGGAAGTTCTAGCAATATGTCTTAAGACACGATGCCATGCACCACTAGTTATTAAAACAACCGAAAATTCTAAATATTTTCAGAATTAGTTTTTCTATGATGTTAAAAACACACTATTTAAGAAGATATAGATAGATTCAAAATAATTAGAATATTACTTTTAGATAAATGTGGAGGACCTCTAAAAACTTTCTCAAAGATAAATATAATATGCATCAAATTGTATAAATACATAAAAAACTACATTAAAGTTAACATTACTTGAAATCAAATCAAAATAAAATTAGTTAGAATCTCTAAAAAGTAACAGAAAAGTGTCCGACTAGATATTTTTAAATGATCTTTTGAAAAAATAGTTGTGATTTTTGATGATGATTTCGAAGTATCTCGGGTACACCATGGTAAAAATCCATTAAGAAGTGATTGCAAATACATATTTTTATGCAAAACTTATGAAAGTATACACAAAATGCATATACATCATAGTGTAAATAAAATAAAGTTAATTTCGTTCAATGAAGAAAAAAATTGCAATGTAAGATATAATAATAATAATAATGGAGTAAAAAAAATATTTAAAATGAAAAAATATGGATCTAGAATAAGAGATTTTACACTTAGACAAACCGCCCTTAAAAGCATATTAGATAAATTATATAGATTTTCAATATAAAATTATTCTACTATTTAGAGCATTTTGTAATCCCATTTCTTCAAACACAATTTATTCCTACAAAATTAATTTAATAATAAAATTTTAAAAGATTAGGAATCTTTTGCTGTTTATGTGAAGATTTCGAACGATGTATATATAAAGGCGAAAAATACAGTCAAAGCGTTTTGTCAACAGCAATTCAGACATTGCACAATTGGTCATTGTGGTCTTCATGTAATAAATTAGTGAAAATTAAGTGATAGTGATCAATTATATAATACAAATGTAAGTAAAAAAGTAATAATAGGATGAACTAACTTAATCATAAATATTTTGATAATAGAAAACTTCTTGATTTGTAGAAGTAGTAAATGTATTTGGTAAGATGCAAAGACTATGTGCAGTATAAATTAATAATATTGAAATGAATGTGAAACATATTTTTAGACACTTGCAAGTTTATGTAATATTTTGAATAGTTGCTAGGTAATAAATACTCATACTTGAGTATTTTCTGGACTACCTTAAATAGCTTTTCAGATTACTTAAATTTCGAAAGTGTGAAATTTGAATTTAAAATTAAGGTACTGAAAACCTTAAGGTCATGAATCAACTCATTAATGAAATAAATTGATTATGCAATATAAATTGAAATTCATCATCTTGGTTAATTTATTTGAACCAAGTTGTTTATTCAATATCCCACATACAAAATTAAAAGTAATATATTTTTCATATAACTAGTTTATTAATTTTAGATATTTACATTAACATTAAAATAATTTTAAATATATTAAGATACTAATTTGTTAAATATTTAATTACAACATAAATTAAGTCAGACATATGCAGTGAATCACGTTGACAAAAAGCGTCTTTTAGGAGCTATAAAGTTTCCACAACCGAAGCCTCTTCTTCATGATCATGTTTAGAAACTACATTTTCCTCATTTTCAGTATTTTCATCATCAATATTTTCTTCAACATTTTCTTGGTGTTCAGTTTCGTCCTGGTCTTCAACTTTTTCGCAAGATTCCTCCTCCTGGACTTGTTCTATTGGTTCAACTACTTCAGCGATTTCAGGTTCATCTAAGAGTTGAGTATCTTCAATAGATCTTTTGGATTTCTTGTTTTTCTTAGATTTTTTGTCCTGTACAGTTGCTTCAGGATTTTCAGATTTGGTGTACTTGTTTTTCTTTTGCTTCTTGGTAACTTGAGCTTCTTCGTTTGCTGCAACAGTTTCCTCAGTTTTCTTGTTTTTCTTTCCTGATTTTACTTTTTGGGTCTTCTCAGGTTTGCCATTTTGGGCATCAGCTGGTTGTTTCACTTTTTGCACTTTTTCCTTAGGTAGTTTTTTCAATTCTTGAGTAGCTGCTTCGACAGCCTTTTTATGCTTTTTGTTTGGTACTTCTTGCTTGGCAGCATTTTTGGAACATCCTTCAGGGTTTGTGCACTTGCGTTTGGATTTACCTGATTTTGGAGATTCTTCTATGACTTTGGATGAATCCTTGAATAAAGGTAATTGAATGATGAAAACGAGATATTTGAAAATCTTGAAACAAGATTATTGAAGGTTAAAATAAAAGTTGTAAGACGCGACAATATTTGAAAAATGCTCTAGAGAATCTCAATGCTTATCATGAAATTAAATTTTTTTATTACCCAGCTTACTTTTTATAGTAAGCCGTTAACCCTTTGCACTCCGTAGGCGCCGCTGTGGCGCATACGGTGCTACAGCGGCAAACCTTGGAGTGCAAAGGGTTAAAATTATTTATTTTTCAAACTCACTGTTTGCTTGACCTCACGCTTTCCTTTTTGCCTTCGAATCCCTTTTGAGTATCCTGCAATATTTTTCCTTGTGATGTTTCACTGCTTTGTCGACTTTTTCTGCAGATTTAATGTCCTTGGATTTTTTGTCGGATTTGGCTTTTTTGGCATCTGCAAAATGACCAAAGATTGCCAAGCACATCAGGGCAATGCAATGAACCACATCAACCTGGAAAAAAAAGAAAAATTAATTATAAATTAATATTTATTAGCTTCAAAACATGATCATGTATGTAATTTAATGCACACTCTTCTGCAATAACTTACTGAGTTGGTGATTGAAGTATGAACAATTAATCTGATATAAATAACAATACTAGACATAATTTATGATTGATAATGTAAGAACCTACAGGTTATTTAAAATAAAAAAAAATTTAAACTTTACGGCTGACCATTGTAAATTCCCCAAATTTATTATATGTCCTTAACTGGACAGTTGTAAATAAAAGAATAAAAAAAACTTAACGTGAAATTTTATTAAATATAAAATATAAATTGCATATTTATACTATAAAATAAAATTGTATCTAATATTTCAAAATAATATTCCATGATTCTAACTGATATGAATAGTGAATTTGTAAACAAAAACAAGTTTTCTGATAAGGCAGGTAGAATCCAATTTTATTTACGTAAGATGGTACCACAAAACTAAATCACAAGTAAATTATGATAAAACAAAGTTTTTGAAGATTGATAAGATAAAAATTAATAATAATTCAATTTGTCTATTTACTATATTAAAATATGCGTAGTAAAATTTAATACGTCTTTTTTTACGTCTTTTTTTATACAAAATGTTGAGTATGTAGAATTTCCTACGAGATTAATTAGTTGATTAAAAATTAATTTTGCTTATCTACATATCAGTGTTAATTGCATGTGGTTTTTAAACCAAAATAAATGATTGCTTGCATAAATTATGACGTGCATAAATGTTTGTAAATGTAGTGGTCGAAGTAATTAGAAGCTAAAAGTTTTTCATTTCCCTAGGTTAAAATTTTTGAACTGTAATTTGTAAACTAGAAATAAAATATTTATAAAAATATTCAAGATAAAATCTACCATGATTAGTTTTAATGAGCACGATAAAGCTTATTAAAATTTTGATAAACATTTGATTTTAATTAAATATAAATACTTGGAATTATTGTACTTGATGCTAAAAAATTGTAAAAGATTTTTTACAGTTATTAAAATTGAAACTAGAATTGAATTAATATAAACATAACAAAAAAATCAAGAAATCGGTGGTTTAAATTTATTCAAATTTTGAATAAAATTGAAATTAAATATTCAATTCAAAATTATGTTATTTCGTATAGAATCAAAAATTTTAGGCAGCAATAAACTGCTTCGAGTATAATATATATATAAAACAATTTTATTAAAAATTAGTTGAGTTACGTAAAATACTTTCATAAAGTAAATTTTGAGTAATTTAAATTAAATAAAATTAATAATTGTTATTAAATAGAAAAAAGTTGTAATACTTAAGTGAAAAATCTAGATAAAATTGCTTATAATTTGACAAATTTATGTGAAAACTGTTGTAAATATGGATGTATTTTACATTTCACATAAATAAGGTACAAAAAACTTAGAAAATTAAAATAGGAAACTATTAAAATATGAAACAGCAAAATCCCAACGCATTTCTAATATTTATACATTGATTGATAAATAAATTAGCAAACAAATTTTGAAACGATCGAAATCTTAACTCAAATCAGAATTTCATAGGTAAACTATAAAAAAAAACTTATCAACAAGTCACTAATAAATAAATCATAAATTAAATGCACATGTAAATGCAAATGCACAGAAGGTATTTAAGATTTTAAATTACCGATTTATAGCAAAATTCAAATATTTAAAAAAATAGTAAAAAAAACTGCGATGTTCTTACACATTGTGTCATTACATTGAATTCGGAATTAAACAAAAATGATACAATGCTAAAAATATTTCTAATATTAAAATAAGAATGTCAAAAATTTAGGCACAAATTATCAAAATAGTGTTCGACCAAATAAAAGAATTTACTGTACTGTAATTCAGCAATCAAAGCACCAAAAAGGCAAAAATTACAAAAATATAAATAATACAAAATATTAATTTTAAGTTAATACATAAACGACTTGTAAATAAAAAATGATACGATGCAAAAAAAAATCACGAAGCGTCAAATATCTCGATTCAAATCAACAAAATTGTCTTCGAGCAAGCAAAATAACACAACTTACAACGATATGCTACCTAGCTAATTGAGCCAATTATTGACGTAAAGATAGCAGCAAAAATCACAAAAATACACAAAATATTAAAATAAACCAAAATATCCACTCACCTCATATTTGATAAATTCCTGTCCTCCTAGCCAATTGAACAACAAATCCGCACTGATATCTTCTAATCAACTAAAATTCGCTTCTCGGCCCAAATCCTTTCCTCCGTCCAATTCCTCAACTGAAAACTTCTTCACCAATGGTAGATTTCACCAGTTGTTCTTGATCGTTGGCCGATCGAAGCGAGAATGATTTTCTCCAACGTTCTTATCACTTAACAAATGTCGTTCATCCGGTGCAACGTACTGACATCTGTTATCAGCTATCAAAATAAAAGCAAATTTTTTTTTTTTTATTTATTTATCCTTGAATTGACGCAGTTGGTAATGGAATTGTTGTATCCTGATCAGGGTTTGCCAGTAGATGGGGGGATAAATTTGGTAATAGATAATAAGATTTATAGTTGTTGATAAATTTTGAATCTGCCTCCTGATTTTTTCTTGAACTGATGCAATTGGTAATGGAATTGGTGTATTTGGATCAGGGTTTGCCAGTAGATGGGAGGATAAACTTAGTGGTTAATAATAAAATAGATAGATGCTGACTCAGCTAACTGGTCAACTTGTTGATTATCTATATGGATGTCCAAATTTCAAATCTACCTCCTGATTTCTTCTTGAACTGAGGCAGTTGTAAATAAAATTGTTATATCTTGATCAGAAATTGGCAAGAGATGGAAGAACTGATTTATTATTGAACAATAAACTAGATACAATGTTGACTCAGATATTTGATTAATTCCTTGATTATCGATATGGAACTTCAAAGTTTAGTTGGTAATGGAAATGTTATATCCTGATCAGGGTATAGGCAAGGATATGGCAATTCGAGTACATCTTGAATAAAATGTCAAATAAAAAGCGATATCTCATAGGAGATAATCTCTTAAATGCATTTACACCTAGCATATTAACTTGAATAAATGTATATTATTTTGATCGGCAATAAATCTATGCAAATAAAAAAAAAATAACAAAATGTTTTTGCAAAACCAATCCATTATTAAATAAAGACTGGAACGAAAAAAAAATAACTCACGTTGATTGTTCCTGAATATAATTATGATCGCGAAATCACTATCTATATAAAATGTAATTTAATTATCATCGGATTTTCCAAAATTCAAGTTTCCTCAACGTGAGATAAAAAAACATACTTAATTTTCACACAAATAATCTCTTTGATTAAATTATAAATACAGTTTTTAATGCTGAAAATCAAATTTATATTGAACGTAATAAGTAAATGTTAAGAAAAAAAATATATATATTTGACTTCTTTATTTTTTTCTTAAGTCGCATATTTTATATTGACAATTATTTTTCATTTCAATAGAATTAAAGCTATTTGTAATAAGAATATTTAAGAAATCAAATTTACTCGTAATAACAAATTTACCTGCGCTAAATGCTCAAATCAAATAAATACATGCGATTAAAATCAAAGTAAATAAAAGACGTATACTGATAATAAAATTAGATTTTCCACTGGGCTAAAATATCTAAAGGTACATCTATTTTTAAAATTGTTGTTTATTTGATTTGTGATAAAAATTTTGTTATTTAAAAAATAATATCCGTAGTATTAAACTACAACAGATACTAAGATCGGAATGAAGTTTATAACATCACAAAAAATATTATAAGAAAGTAGAAGTACAATTAAATCTAAATATATTTCGAATCAAATTTCACCTTTATTTTTAAATTAAAATATATTATGTATGTAATATTAAATTAAAATATATTATGTATGTATTAAAATTGATACATATCTTTATTATTTAAATATCTTCTAAATCAGTAACTGATTGAAAATGCTTTTATTAAAAGTTAATAATATCAATCAATTAACATATCAACTGCCTTTTAACATATTTTGGTGATCTTGATTATTTTATCATATAATTAATAAAGATAATAAGCCAATGAGATTTGAATCTGCATGATTAAATATACATTTTAATTTCATCTTAGTTGATAATATAATTATAAAAACTATCTAATAAATTGATGAGTGATTTTGAGTTTTCTAATGATTTTGAAAGTTAATTTCTTGATAATCTGAAAAATAATTAGTCTAATTGTAAAATTAATTGTTTATGTTGATATATGTAATTACATTGAATATGGTTTAAAAAATAATTTTAACTGAATGAATTAAAATCAATATGGTCTGGAACTTGTGATAATGTAAAAATAAGTATCGGCAAACAAATTCATTAACGATGGTTTCTAAATAATTTATTTTTAATAAGACAACAAAGTAAAAATTTATGATATGATTCATATATATTTAATTATGAATGCGAATTAGCCACTTTGCAAACTGATAAAATTCTGCAAAAATATAAATATTTATCATACTTAATTAAGTACACATTAAAAGACGACAATATTTAAATATATTTATCTTTACATACAAAAATTCAGGATAAATCATAAAGTATATTTATTTAGAAACAAACTTGAATATAATTGTAAATTCTGTAGTCTTATTATAGGCTCTTTGAGACTTAGTAGTTGGAGAACCATGGACTTTGAATTAGAGATACCAGTTTAAATACCTTTCCCGGGCAACTTGATGTCAAGCAGAAGTAACATCAGGTTTTACTAAAAAATATACATAGTAATATGATTTCAAGTAAAAATATTTTTCGATTGACATTATTGCATCGATGAAAATTACATCAGTATTACAGAAAATGTAATGATAAATTCATGACATAGAGATAGGACAACCATGTGGGTTGCCATCAATAAAGCCAAGTCTTTCGGCTTTAATGCCCCATACAACTATTCTGATTATTATTTTTATTATTAAATATAAATGTCAGACTAGTTCAAAAAACTTCCATTACAAAATAATTCCGACATTTGCGATTGCGCACTTTAAAATGTTGCTCATCCAAGACAAGAAAACACAATAGTCGTTGTTGTTGTTATTTCCTCTGGTCATTTCCGGCAGTTTTAA